TTAAATAACTAAAAATATTGATTGTTTATAATTTTTATTTTATATAATTAGATCATTTACTTTCTTAATCAGAATTTTACTTATTTTACAATTTTAATCATCCTTTTAAACTTTACTTAACATTATGCTAGTATAACATTCATATTAAATTCTTCTTTGATCTTTTCTGCAATATCTTCCAAAAAGGTAATTTTGATCTTCTAAGATTAAACCAATATTCTTCGTTTCTGTTTTTTCTTTTATTGATCAATAATTTAACTTTATTATTATCCTAATTGATTGTGTTTGGCATTTTTGATAAATTAAAAATTTAAAGATTATTAAATTTAATTTTTTAACAATTAAAGAAAAAGAAAAAAATACTTATAAATTTATATAAAATTATATCGACATATGTCAGAGATTTAAAATATTTTGCATATAATGAGTAATTTTATTTAATCAAAATTATCTAATAATTGCAAATTGTAATGGTAATTCTAATTTAAGCATTATGTATAATCCAATTTACAAAATTATTTAAAAATTATAATTTTGATAAAATTGTTAAAATTACATGATCTCAATTTTTTTATTTCCAAAAGAAATACAATTTTCAATGATAATATTCAGATAATCACCCTAGATTCACTTCTGATTTATCCTTAGTTTTATCACCAGTTATTCTATATAAAAATTTTCTGGATAATTAACAATTTTTTTTTAAATTTATATGATTTTTAACTAAAATTTTGCAAAAATTATCTAAATTTTATTATTCTAATTTAATATCAGAAATAATGACATTATTAAAATATTATTTAAGGTAAGTAACACTAAATTATTATATGTTCAAAAATCATTGATAATCTAAAAAATCTAGATTATAGATTAGAAACAATATTAAATTTGTTTAATCAACAAATTTTATATTGTAATCAAGATTTTTAGATTTTCAATAAAATTTAAATAATGTGACTTGATTTTTTAATAAAAGGTTGATGTTTTACTTTAAAATAAAATTGTGTTATTACTTTAGAAATATACTACTTTTAAAGTTCACAAAAAGAATACACACTTTTTTAACTAAATTATAATGTAAAGAAATTTGTAATTATGCTACTGATATCGTGATAGCCTGAAATTTTAGAAAAAAATAATTAATAATTTCTAAATACTCTTACTGAACTAATACCACAGCAGCCTGAAATTCTAAAAAAAAATAATTAGTTATATAAAAAAGGTATAAATTAATTATTAATCATTTAATCAACTTAATTAACAAATTTAATTCTTAAGACTAACCTATATTAAAGAAAGAAAAAAATAATAATAACCCAATCCATAAGAAAAAGACTATTAAACCAACCAATTATTAATGAAAAAAGATTGATCTGATTTTATGTATGTAAGTCTTACTTTTTAAAGATAAATAAACTGATATGTTTTAAATCAATTGATTTATTTTTCTTTTTTTTTCTTTTAATTAATTCTTTTTTTTTATTTAATTTTTAATTCCTACATCCCACTTTTTTTATTTTATTTTATTTTTATTTTTCCCTCTACCCCTTTGAAATATTTAATTATTTTTCAACCCTAGTTTTTATTATTATTTTTTTAATAATTTTTTAATATTATTTCCTCCTCTTTTAGAAATTGTTAATATTCTAGAAAAACTATGAGCAGCCCTAACATAAGGCAAATCTTACTATATTCAGTTTACTACTATTTTTTTCTCGCCTTCATGACATTAGTGATTCCTTTTTCAGGTTAATTAAAACCAGTTAATTTTTTTTTTTATATTATTTATTAATTGTTTTTTTTTAATTTATTAAATATTTTTTTTTTTTTCGTTTTATTTTATTTTATTTATTTTTTTTTTTCAAATTTTAATTTTCATTTTTAATTTTTTTATTTTATTTTATATATTTAATTTTTTTTTTATATTATTTATAAAAACTGCCTTAGGAACTTACTAGTAAATAAATTCCCTTCTTCTTAGGTTAGGGTAGGCTTTTTTAAAAACGTTACTAATGTTCTCTTTGCTTCTCTTTTTTAGGACTGGCTTTCTTTAGATTTTGGGAATTACCAGTGAGTGAGTTTCTTTCTTCTTAAATTGTGGATGAGCTTCTTTAAGAATGTTACTAATATTTTCTTTTTGCTTCTCTTTTTTAAGATCGGCCTTCTTTGGATCTTGGGATTATTGGTGAGTGAATTTCCTTCTTTTTGAATTGGGTGAGCTTTTTTGAGAATATTACTAATATTCTTTTTTGCTTCTCTTTTTTAAGACTGGCCTTTCTTTAGATCTTAAGAATTACCAGTGAGTTAATTCCCTTCTTTTTGGATTAGGTAAGCTTTTTTGAGAACATTACTAACATTCTTTTTTTCTTCTCTTTTTTAGGACTGGCTTTCTTTGAATTTTGGAAATTACTAGTGAGTTAATTCTCTTTTTTAAGTTAGATGAGCTTTTTTAAGAACATTATTAATGTTTTTTTTTTTTTCTTTTTTAAGACTGACCTTTCTTTGAATCTTAGGAATTACCAATAAGTTAATTCCCTTCTTCTTAGGTTAGATAGGCTTCTTTAAGAATGTTACTAATGTTTTTTTTGCTTCTCTTTTTTAGGATTAGCTTTCTTTGATCTTGAAAACTTACCAGTAATAAATTAATTCCTCTTTCTTATTTTTTTTGAATTGGATAGACTTCTTTGAGAACATTCATTAATGTTCTTTTTCTTTTCTTTTTTTTTAGAATTAGCTTTCTTTGGATCTTGAAAATCTACTGGTAAGTAAATTTCTTCTTCTTGAATTGAGTGGACTTCTTTAAGAATGTTTACTAATATTCTTACTGATATTGCAGAAGTTTGAAATTCTAAAACTTAGTGAAAAACTATTTTTTAAGAAAAAATAAATTTTTTTATTTTTAATGCTTTTTTTAAAATAATTAATTTTGTTTTTTTTTTTTATGATTTTGATTTAAATATTATATAAAACTTAAATATAATTTAATTTAAAATAAATTTTTTTTTATTTAAATATTTATAAGTTAATTAAATTTTGACTTGAAACTTGATTTGAACTTAATTCAACTCGAATAAATTTAAGTCAAAATTGAGTCAAGTTAAACTCAAATCAAATCAAATTGAGTCAAGTTTAAAATTTATATAACTCAAATCAAATCAAATTAAAAGATTTTATAAAATAAACTCAACTCAACTCAACTTGAAAAAAAATGAGTTGAATAAAGTTAGTTTTTAAACTTGACTCAACTTGACTTATTTAGAACTCTAATTATACAAACGTATAAACAAATTTTATCTTTGTCATATTAAAATTGCATTACACAATTTTTTGTTATGCCGTTACATCTAATTTTACTACATAATTATATATAAATTTGTTATATCGTCACATATAAAAATAGTTTAAAATTTTTATTACACAATCACGTATAAAAATAGATTAAAGTTTTATTACACTATCACATATTAAATTAATTTAAAAATTATGTATTTTAATTTAAGAGGTATAATTATCTTTTTAGATTATATTTGACATCATACATATTTTCAAAAGTATATTTCTGCTACACAAACTAATTACTGAGTTTGATAATTTTTATTTCTGTTACACAAATACATATTTAACTATATTAAAATTTTGCTACCTGCTACGCAAAATTTTAGGTAACTTAATCAAAATTTTTTATGTTCAATAAGCAATCTCAAATCTAATATATACATATATTATCAGAGTCTTAATATACTTAATATAATTATATATAAATAACATATCTATTAATTAATAAAATTGATATATTATATATTTTTTATAGATTTTTATTTATATTTCACCATTAAAAAATTTTTTTTGTTTACAGTCACATCTCGTTATAATTATAGAATATAAAATATTCCATATATATAACTATAATGAGAGTTGACTGTAATATATTATTACAATATATTATATGTGAATATTTAATATGAATAAGCAATGAATACTTTTGATACTTCAATTTTTAATAATTTAATAAAATTATAAAAGATTTGACAAAAAGATAAACATTTAAATTATTATATTTGCTCTTAATTTATATGAAATTTGTGTTAATTTAATAATAATAGAAAAGCTTTGGTTAACTATGAGATTATTTTATTTAAAACATTAAAATTAGCTTTATATAAATAAATAAAATTTATCTTTTAATAGTTTATTTTTACAAAATATTTTAATTTTATTAAAACATAAAAAGGTACATAAAATAAGTCAATTAAAAAGTGATATTTATATAAGAGAAAAAGGACAGAAGTTGAAAAATCTGAAAATCTTTATAAAAGAAATCATATAACAACTCCTATTTAACTATATTATCAAAATTTTGATAATAAAAATAATAAAGAAGAGGAAGATATTATAGCAATTTATGATGATAAAAAAGGTATACTTTTAACTATTTCTGTAAAGTTTGAATTAAAAATTGAAGATTATGAATCTGATATGATTTTTTCAATAGAATAATGAACATATGTAATTAAAATTAAATGAAGATCTTTTAGCTTTTAAAGCTGTAGATTATACTATTCATTCTGCTAATGATTTACTTGTCAAATAAGAATTCAAAAATATTCAATAATAGATTAATTTAGATGCTAATTAAAGAATAATATGTCATTGTTAATCTAATTGTTTGTTATTAATTAAAAATATTTTTATGTAATTGTTATAACGAATTTTATTATCTGCAATAAATTAAATCATATAATTACATTTGCAAAAATAAATTTTAATAAATTTAAATTATTTTATTATATAATCAGTCGGATAATTTAATGGATTATATAGCTTATTAAATTACCCGGTTGATTAATTATTATTTAAAAATTTGAAATTTAATTGTTCAGGCAAAATGACTTGTCATTCTCTCTCTCTCTCCCCCTCGTCATTTAACTTTAGAATGACTCAAATGACACGTGACCAGTCATTTGAGGTCATTTGATCATTCGCCATCACTACTATCATCATTAAAAAAGCTGTCCTTTCCTACTTTTTTTTTTTCTGAATCCTGTATTATCATTAAAAGGCTGCTCATTCGTCGACTGGCTGCTACTGAATCTTCCGAATCCTCCATATTGAGCATGATCATTACATGGCTGCCCTCTTGTCGACTGGCTACTTCTGTTTGTTCCGAATCCTCCAAATTGTGCATCATCATTAAATGACTGCTCATTCGTCGACTGGCTACTTCTGTTTGTTCCGAATCCTCCAAATTGTGCATCATCATTAAATGACTGCTCATTCGTCGACTGGCTACTTCTGTTTGTTCCGAATCCTCCAAATTGTGCATCATCATTAAATGACTGCTCTCTTGTCGAATGGCTACTTCTGTTTGTTCCGAATCCTCCATATTGTGCATTATCATTAAAAGGCTGTTTATTCGTCGACTGACTACTACTGTTTGTTCCAAATCCAAATCCTCTAAATTGTGCATTATTATTATTAAAGGGCTGTCCTCTCTTCGGCTGGCTACTTCTGTTTTTTCTAAATCTTATATTTGATACCACATACCCCATTTGTATGACTTGAAATACTTCATATTCTTCTATAAAAAAACAATCTTCAGTTTCTCTGATCGCTTTTTCATAAGAATGCTTTTTACAGTAACCACCGCCTCTTCCAATTACAAGATCGGTTAAACCAAATGCTGGTCCGTAATTAGAATGATTGTTTATAGCAAGCGCATTATCTTTTACCCGACTTAGAATGAAATTTTCGATATTTTCTTTATCCTTAAATGAGAATATAAAACTATCTTTAACATGACTATATCGATTGATATTCATAGATCGCCATGCAACGGGATTGTAACCTCCAAGAATCTCGTTATTATCTTTCACCTTAATGACAATTAAAGTACGAGTTTGATTATCACAAATTTCATGAAACTTTTCAGGTGTAAATCCATCACGAGAACCACGAATTAATAATTTGAATTTATATAAAGAAATTGATCCGTTTGAAATGGTTATCTTTGTAAAATCATCAATCCATTTTGAAATTAATCTAGTATGTTGAATTGAAATAATGTTTGAACCGTCATTATTAATCTCTTCAATCTTAGGTTCAAAGTTAGTCCTTTCCGGATTTGAATACTTGCTATTAGAGTCCAAAAAATATTTAATTAAATCCGTATATAAATCCTTTGGTAAAGCTTTTTTGTAAGGCAAAACTTTATTCAAAAATTCCTTGGAAGAAAAAGTATAAAATCTGATAAATGGAATACATTGTTGTAAGGTATTTTTCAAAGCAACAAAATCATCTTTGGAATAGCTAGAAGGATCTGAGGAAAGTTCGGGATTTTGAGCAATTCCCCATTTCAATACATGTTCCCAAACTTGGACACCACTCATTGAAAAGTTGATATTTCGAATAAGAGAAACCAAATTTGTTTCAGAAATTGAAACAAAATCGTCCGACTTAAATATCTTTTCTGGTTCTTTAGAAATTAAATTTAAGCAAAAATTTTGAAGTTTTAAGAAAGAAACATATTTAAAACTTATTCGGTATATTAGATTAAAATTTTTTTCCATCCAATTCATTTTATTTTCAAACAAAAATAATTGTATATGGATGACTAATTCTTGAAGGTCTAATTCGCTGGCGGCAAGCAAGATATTAATAATATCTACAGTTTCATAATTTTCCAAAGGAAGTTTTGCTCCATAAATATACCTTCAAAATAACAGAAAATTTGTAAATTTGAAGAAATTTTTTTTTTTTAATTTATTTTAAAACAATTACAGTAAATTACCTCAAGATTATTTGAAAGGCCTCAGGGACAACAGTCGGTAATTTAATGTGTGTTAGAGTTCCATCATTTCTCTTTTTATTGGTTGACAAAAATTTTCGCAAATAAGGGGAACGATAATATAAAATAACCATATGAGCACGAAATATTTTTATGTATGGATCCTTTCCAACTTCAATTGTAATATCATAAAACTCATCATCCTCTAAACTTTCAAGTAAATTTTGTGACAGTTTCGATAAAAAGTTATCAGCCATTGTACAAAAGATGAGAAGACCAACCTTTGCTTTTTTGTATCATTTCATTACATAAAAGCGGACTAAATTTGTGTTGTATGACGAAAAAACGATCATAACCTAAAATAAAACGACGCAGCAAATTTCCGTTAATCAGTTTGCTATTGTCATGTATAAGGCAATTTTATATACTTAGCAATTAATTATCAAATAGTTTTATTCATAATAATTGATTTTCTATCGTTTCTTTTCTCGTTTGTATAGGAATCGGTGCAGCATTTTACTAAACCCATGTAAAATTTCATGATAAAATCAATAAAATGTAACATACCACTTTGCCTGCCAATAATACCCATTTTTTTTTATATTAATTGAATTTAATTTTGGATGTTTTGGCAGTGAGTTTGTAGTTATTAACAAATTGCGACTTTATAAGCTCGCGGTGAGAAAAATGTGTGAAAAATAGTTTAAATAATTACGACATTTTCTGAACCCAGAATCAACCAATCAAATTTGATTTGCCAATAGTTATTTGCCGAAATACCGGTAAATATAAATTATATTTAATTTTAATTTTTAAAATCGGTTCATTCGGTATATCTAGATCAGACATCGTATAAAATGTTTTCATTTGTTCAATGATATTATTTAGCCATTTATTCTGAGTTAAATCGACGGATACGTCAAAAAGATCTCGTAAAAAATTAATAAAATAAATTAGCAATGCATCAATAATTAACCGAATATTACATTACCTAATTTGCATGTTATGGTTCTTCTACATTCAAATTTGAGTATTAAAGGATATAACCCGTTTCTTTAAAGCAGTTATGGAAATGCCATCACTACTTTAAACCTATATTAATGTTAAAATATAAGATATGTATATGTATGGTCCACGTCACATCGTACAATATTTCACAGCCTGTTTTTTTTCTATTGCGCCTAGGAATTTATTTTCCTTTCATTCTAGATTTTAATAAAATTTTAATAATTTGTTGTTAAAAATGATGTCTGCTACAAAGATAATGCTTAAGGACGAATAAAATTGCGACTTAATTGGCAAACAAGTTCACCAATCTTGAGAACATTGGAAGCTGTTCAAGGATAATATTAAGAGTGAAGTCATTCAAATGAACTTAAGATAGGACTAAAGGCGGAATGGAAAATTTGTATTGTTCTCTTTTTAAGGAGATTATAGCTCAATACCATCGAAGAATTAGTGTAGTATTGAAAGCAAATGGAAAGATTGATTAAATAAAGTTTTTTTATGTACTAGGCAACGGGGATCGTTGTGAGCGTCACGCTGTCACGTTCCAATTTTTCAAGCTTGACATTTTTATTTTAGTTTAACGTTAATGTTACATTTACATTTAATTTAGTATAGTGTTACATTTAATGGTTTCACGATGAATAATTGAGAGATAAATACGTGAGATTTTTTCTTATTTTGATCATTATGTAATAGAATTCTGTTCTCAATATTATAACGATTAATAAAGTTTTTATATCTATAAGCAATTATAATTAAATAAAATTGTATTAAGAAATCATTGAAATTAATCGCTTTTCTTCAAATAATATCTCTTGCAACTTCTTACATTTATTAATATGTTTAAGTTTTTTGAATAAAAAATAGTTTAAAAAGAACATTATTATATAATAACATTAATCACATTTGTGACATTCATATCCTCAGGCATGTGATTGTAGGTACTTTATAGGTGGCTTAATTGTATGTTATTGAATGAGATGTTAAAATATCGGTCGAAGACCAATATAGCACTGTTTAATAATAATATTATTATATACAGTGTGTGACAGTATAAGATATTCACTTTTTATTTAAGCGGCCAAATTTTATTTTATTATATAATATATCACATGACTATAATAAATCACATGTTTTTACATTTAAGCCAATCATAATTAAGTATTTAACTACACAAATGAATTAGGTATAGATCTATGCGATTTAAATTTTTTTTACTGCATATTCAGCTTGTTTAGCATTTAAACCTTTTCTATAACAAACCAGACTTTCTAGCATATTTTCTAATATGGGTTGATTGCTAGGAAAATCAGGTTCCGGGAATTTTTTAGCAAAATTGAGATTTTTATTGCATTTTAGTTTTTGATGTTATTAGATTAAAATGTATTAAGCTCTTTATTTTAGTCAAAAATTTTTCGGAACCTGATTTTCCTAGAAACACTCCCATATGACTAATAGGAACTGAATCTAATATAAGCGGAATAATTCTTTGTAATCCAGTTTAACTATAATTATATTGCTAATGAGCATACCTTTTCGCTGCTTCCCAATACATTTTAATATAATTAAGTTTACAATGGAACTTTAGATAAAAAATAACCTTATGATCCTTTACTTCAATAATTTCTTAAATTAAAGGTTTGGTGTTAAGAAAATTAGGTTGATTTGAAAGAATATATCTTGCATAACATTGAGAATTAATATTATATTCATTATTACCACAATATACTTTCAACCCTGTTGATGGTCACAAACCTCTCTCTTCTAAAATAATTCTCATTCCTTTAAGTTTTTCACATAAACTTTTGTTATGATAATTATCTGAAAAATTCATATGTTGAATCTGCCTATTAAAAATTGTATCACGTAATTTGGTCTGTTTTTTACTTAGATTCAAGTTCATATAGTTTGTGTTTAATACATCATTGGCAAATTTATCATGATTTAAAGAATTATCAAGACAAATACGACAATTGCATCTGGATAAGTTTTTTCAAAAATAGGTATAACCCAATTTTCTATCTAAATAATTATTAATATCAATATCAATTAATTATTTATAATATTATATTTTTTTTATTTATATATTACTTGTTCATTCAATTTATCTACATTCCACCATCCATCGAAATTTTTACCCAGATTGATTATTATATATGCTTTATAGCAGTGATGGCAAATGATCTAGTCATTTGACAAATTTTCAAGTAACCCTAAATCACGTTGAAATAATCGGCCATTCTTTGTCATTTAGAATTCAGGTTATTTAAAAATGACTTATAACATAATGACCTATATCATTTGGGTCATTTGAAATTTTTTAGGTCATTTGGTCATTTGGTCATTTAAGTTTATCCAAAATCATTCATAATTTATATAATTATTAACATATATAATAAATAAAAGATCATTATCAAACATCTGATCTTTTTTTCTTTGAACTTTATTTTAAGCTAAACCAAATTTGTTTTGAACTAACTTTAATTTTATTTTAAGTAATATAATGGGAAAAGAACACAACTTTTGTGAGTTTTTTTCTGACTACACCAGATAATTCAAAAGCAAATAAAAAGACCGTTTGCTGATCATATATAAGAAAATATACCCTACCTGTTACATAATTAAAACCTGATTGCTTTATTTCTAATAAAGCAAAATTATGTTGAGAATACTTAAAAAAATGCTTAAATTTTGAACAAGAATATAATGATTATAAAAGAAAAGAAATTCTTTTACATTATATATCAGAAGATGAAA